GACTGGCAGGAGTAGAGACCAGAAGGAAAGGACGGAAAGAATACGGATAGACGTACGGTAGCCAAGGTCCTTAATTATGCGGTTTTACGCTATGCGCCAACAACAGGGAGAAAAGGGACGACGAAGGGGGCAGGTTAAGACGAATGCAAATGTCCGCGTGGCGTATTATAGGCTAGGTCGGCGCAACCGGCGCGTACAGCCAGAGAGATCTTGCCCTTTTAGTTAACAGATGCCGGCGAGATACCGGCTATCTCTCGCGTCTCTCGATGTCCTGCCGCGACTCGCGAACGAGAAAACCAAACAGCAGGAAAGTATCGGTATCCATCCATCGAGGAGCAGAGCACGCGTGTGACTCGAGCGAGCTGTTTAACCATTTGCGCTGGCAACTGGTTCGCGGACCATAACGAGTGACCAAGCCATTTACAAAATGATTCGCCGCTTTCTTTCTCGAATTCCTCGGTAATTTCTGTTATTTGTTATGTTCAAATATATATATAGCTGAGCAAATATTGCAATATTTGGGGCAAAAGCGGAGCCAGGAATCGCAATGCGGGGATCAAATTAACGTGCAATTTTTTTCGAGAGTGAAATCAGCGACAGGCTGGAGCCGCGATCGTCAAATTGTGACCTTTCTCGGAGAAGGTGCTGCCGTTGTCGAGTGAACGGCAGAAAACAGCCCGCCGGTTGGCGGACTTTGGTTCGTATCATCGTGCACGCGTTTCTCAAGTTGCATTCATGTGTGTTGTGCACGTGTGCACGGAAGGCTCGTGTGGCCCCTGAATCGATGAAAGGGAACGAGAGGAACCGGTTACAGGTCGATCGCACGATCGGATTCTAAGCCATGCACGGTTTCCAGTATCTCTAGTAACTAACATGATGTAGAAGCACCGAATATCGACACCGAGAACAAACGATCGAGAAGATCAAACGAAGATCTCGGACGAAACAATCGAAGACGACATGTGTCACACGCTTACTGCGCAGCTTCGAAGTGAATCGATCAAGTCCACGTGTTTCAGCCCTTTGACAAATATTCTAAACATTCTTACGTTATTGAACTCGATGCAGAATAATTATGAACGTTCAAATCAAATTTCTAACGAGGAAAGAGATGTTGTTACTGTACGAAGTAACAGCTCGCGAGTTCGCTCCGTGAAAATGAGCGTGATATATACTGTGTATCAGCGCATGTGCGACGCGTGGTTTTGTGTGAAAGCACGTTAAGTCCAGGGCGAATCGTTTCCTAAGGAGAGAGAGAAGAGAAAGCCTGAGAACATAAGAACGGCGAACGTCTGGAGAACAGCCGCCATGCCGCATTCAGAATATCTCAACGCAGAGTAACAGACTCGAGGCGAGATCCTGAATCCTCGCTCTCGGAAGCGACTGCCACCACAGCCTAGCTCGATCGGAGAACGTTCCAGAGAAATTCGTAATCCGGTAATATCCAATTCTTTCGTATTTCTCTCTTTACCTAATACTATAACTTTGCCAATGTCTTCGATGAATGGACCAACATTCTGAATATCTTTCAAAATTTTGCCATTTCTCAGCGAGTAATAAATCTGAAGTTATAAAATTAATGTCAACACAGCGTGAAGAAGGAAGAAGAGGACAATAGAAATATCCCATCGATTAGTACTAGTTCTTGACTTTAATTGCACGTGGCGCGTTTCAACGATTTCCTTTATGTATCTAGGTTAACACGTTCCGTGCCAAGGCTTTTGTTTTTGCCTTTTGTTGTCGTTTCAGGCCATTTGATATTTTGACTAAAGGTTGATATATTATCACACCATCAATCGATAAGTAGTTCTCTTGTTTAAAGTAGCTATCACATCGTCTACCACCTGTGGTAACGCTGCGATCAGTTCGATTGCAAAAAATAAACAAATTAAATAAATATGAGTGTATGTACCACCGGTGGTACACATGGCATGGAACGTGTTAAGGAAGGAGTAAACGATGTCCGACAATTGTATCTGTTTGTATCTGTTTGCGTTGTGTCGTTGCTATTAGATTTTGCCGATTTTCTTTGGTCCGCAGCGACCATACTTTCTTCCCGCCTAAGTACTCGAGACCCGAGGCACAGTGTTACGTCACAGCTTACGCAAATTTACGCATATGGAAAAGTGAAAAATGAAAATTCATGCTCGTAAACTCGCTTTACTTTTTTTTTTTTTTTTTTTTTTTTTTTGTTATGAGTCACACTGACTTTAAGTGATAGGATCGCATCCGTGTAAATCCTTTCTGTCAATTCAGAGTCTGTTGTAGTCTTTAATCTTTAGTAGACAAATACGTTCAATAAAAAAATCTAGGATCTAAAATCGATGTCGTAGATTTTTCGTAGAAAAATCACGTGAAATATCCACGCTTGTATTTATCAAAGTATGAATTTTCATACATAAATGTACGCAAATCTCGTAGCGACGTGTAATCAATCAGCAATATGAAAATGAAACAACAACTAACAATTATTTCTGAGTCGAAATTTTGTCGTATATAGGGAAAAAGTTGAACTGTTATTTACGGGGAAAAAAGAAAAGAATGAAAAGAAACGTTGGTTCGGATGTTTACGCGCACACGAGGGAAGGAAGACTCGTTTCCTGGAAAGCGGGGTTGGGCACCTGTCCCTCAGGGACTACCAACTTTAGGGCGCAAGCTGCAATATTAAAATTGAGCACCACTGTGACAGTAACATAACCACGTGTATTCGAGGAAGCTAACATTTGCGTCAAGAATATAATACGAAAAGGAATATAATTCCTCTCAGAATGATACAATTTTCCCAATTGGTATAAAAAATTTTTATCTCGCAGCCAAAGGTGACATTATTTTTCATATTCTTTCATTTTCACGATCCTGGTGTATTGTACGCGCGTGTAAAAGAAAAAAGAATAAATGAATAAAAAATACAAGGAAAGAAGCGTTTGGAAAAATGAAGACGCGTTGGGCGGCACGAAGGCTACAACCACCGACATGGTCAATATTTTTGAGACAGGTAGTAATTGAAAGCAAGCACGGCAATGTCCGACATCGCTTCGGAATACTAATTGCACGAACGAGCTCGTTCGTTAATCTTTCAACGCTTTGACCTGAAAACGGCCTCTAACGCGGCTCGCGAACGGAACGTTCGAAAAATGTACAGAACGTCAGTTAACGTGCAGGCGACTAACGCGCCGGCGCTCAACGTTGTTTCGCGACTTGTTGCCTAGCAGCGACATGTGGCGGACAATGACTTTAAACTGACTCCGAAACTGAATTCTAACGCGTTGTAACGCGCATTATTAGACTTACCGGACACCGCGGGGAACGAGACGAGGATGAACAGAGCCAGGAGAAAACACGCCATCGATGCGTAATCCAATTTTCGTCGTGGCAGCATGACGCCGTAAATTTTATCCACACACATCGGGTAGACACACACTCATCGGGACTCGGGGGGCGCACACACTACAGAGAACCAACACTTCGGTGCACTTCAGTGTAAAATCCGCGTACCGTCACTTGACCACGCACATCGTCCGGAATCTATGTCACCTCCGATACGTCCAACAAAAATGTATACACGGTCACGCGAGGCGAATACGGGTGAAAAAAGTATACGGCAACACTATACGAACACGACCGCGTCCGAAACACTTCTGGTTTCCCTATTGTTCGCTTAACGCGCTGAAAGTAGTTCCCCAATGCGCGCGCACCTGCCTCCAACGGCTGTATCACTACGCCGCCATGGGATGGCTGACCGTGCCAGCCAATAGAAACTCAGCTAGAACGGAATTGGGCCGTGGCGTGCATTCATCACACTCGGCTACACGAGAAATCGTTAAATGTTCAGTTCGAACTTTTTTTTCTTTTTTTCTTTTTCTCTTTTTTTATGAATCAAAAGTACGAAATATGGAAATTGGCAACCGTCACAATGTTGTTGCATATATTTAAAAACGACGAAATTATTTCGCCCGACGTATCGAACTAGCAACAACTATTTTCTAATTAATATTAATCGTTAATCGATTCGTTTTATAAAAGAGAGGTATATGTGATTAGTTTCATCTTCAATTTCGCTGCACAATTAATTTCATTTTTCGCTAGAAAATATAAAGAAATAGCCTAATGACGATGATTTAATCGCCTCGTCATTAAATTAATCTTCACGTCGCGTTTTCTCTTTTCCTTTAAACTTAAGCCGTTTGTGGTTTCCTTTTACTCAGTTTTACGAATTCGAGTCGCACAAATGTGAATGGAATCCTTGATTCCTGGCCGGAATTGAAATCTAACAGCTTGGCGCGTGATGCTTCTCTAGAATTCAAACGGCAAACGCAACGCAACGCAACCCAACGAACGTGGTCAGTTATAAAGTGCCAAGGCGGCGATGTGTATGAGGACTCACTGAGTCGAGCACTGGCCAAGCATGAAGTCTGATCATTAATTAACCTTCCAGCGGTTGATTGCGTGTAACGCGAAATTCATCGCCAGCGCTTCATGGCCGCCAAGCGCTGTTGTTGTCGTTGCTGCTGCTGCTGCTGCTGCTGCCTTAACGAATACAAATGCGGAATTATAATTCGGTGCCCTCCCTTTAGGTCCATTCAACAGACGAAGCCTTACGAATTGCTTTCCCCTTTCTGTTCTCCGTGGCACGCGAGAGAGAGAGAGAGAGAGAGAGAGAGA